GTACGAGAGTTCAAACTTAGAGCAGCATCAAGACTGAACAATAATCGACATTACAGAAAAAGGCAGTGGCATGATACAGATGATTATGCTCTTATGTCTCAGTTTATGACAGATATTGGATAAGAATGTCGTGTACACTTGGTTCAACTTTAATTTAGCACCAGAAAATGGAAAGCAACCATTATGCAGCAGATGTCAGCACTCTCGCGGCCATTCAGGAATTTAGAGATTTGGAAATTTGTGATGCAAGTAATGAGAGGTTTGTGAGAGATATATCCTTCAAATGCTCCTTTCTGATCACCTTCAATCTAGGGGGTGTGCACACCAAGAGTAGGTGAAAGGTCCTGAAAGCGCATTCAGGAGTGGTGTTGATCATCTTTTCAAACATCAGCAGCATGATGTACAATTTAATTCAAAGCATTTGAGCTACATTTTTTTACTTAAGTACTCCAATTAGTTTTCTTAATATTTCTCTCAAACAATTTTCTGATAGCGTCATAGCAGTGTCATTCGATTTGCTTTAACTGCAATGAATCCGTGCAAACTGTCGCCAAGAAGAAAATGTAGGGTAAGCATCATCGAAATGGTTTTGTTTGTTGTTTATGTTTGGTGGTATTCTATGTGCATTTTTGGGCAAAACTGGACAAAAAATGATCACGCCGAAAAAAGGCCATCAAGTTAAACGCGGTGATACTGTCGAAAACAGGTTTGGTGAAGCCTGCCAGACTTCGTAGCTTCCTACATAATCAACACCCATTTTTTCCCATTCAACGACAAGCTGTGAACCTTCCATAAATCAAAATACTGATAGAATGTGATAAAGGTTGGTTGCAACCTCCAGAGATAACGAGTTTGAAAGGGATAAAAGGACAGAATTTGTTCTTATCGTGAACTCTCTTGAGAAAAGAGAACTTTTGTCGTTCCGCAGCGTCAAGAAGCTGGCATTAAAATACGGATTTATCAGATTCCAGTCCCAAAAAGGTAAAAAATTATTTTAACCGAAATATTCCCTAACGAAATATTCAAATTTACGTTGTTTCGGTGCAGCTATTCTAGAAAGAGGTGGTGATTCATTGAGCTGCGAACGGTAGAGTTTGATATTCTGATGTCGTGGGATAGCTGGCCATAAATAGCAATGTCAGCACAATGTGTAACCTCAAAACGAATAAAGCAACTCATACACAGGGTTGCAAAAGTCAAAGACATGATCGTATTTGATTCGTGATTTATCCACTCTGCCTGTTAAAGCATGACAAAGTGTCACAATTTTGTCTATTTGAGAAAGACTTTGACGAGTTAGTCCTGTCTCGAAATGATCGGTCTTGCTGTTACAGTAGGGAATCGCTTCTCTCTTTTAGACAACACGTACTGCGAGGGAATAACGAAAAACGTTTTTCATTCATACCAAAAGTAGATTCGAATTTCCATAAGCACACAGTAAACGGAGTCATGGAAGATTATTCATACAATTGACTGTGAAGCGGTCACCACTAAACCTGACTTTTCTTTTCCTACAAGGCATTTACAACTTTCTCTATTCGCTGTCATAGTTTATAAAACATTATCTGATTTAACCATTTCTCTTGTTAAAACGTAATTTTCCCATAAAAACGATAAATGGCATGGCAAAATATTACTCATTGTGCCTCAGCATGGTTCCGAGCGAAGTTAAAATCCAAAATGTGTCATCGCCCTCTAGGACATTGGCCCCATCAATAAAGTATATGGAAGACGGATATTTCAAACGTTGCAACTTTTGTTTCCTCCAAATTGACAATCCTCGAAATGAAAGCAACAAAGCGGTTCGTGAACCTAGGAAGTTTAAAAGAAGCTCAGGTTCGATTGTCAATATTTTTCAAATTTTTGTGTTAGAGTGCAGTTTTTGCATCGTTATAGTTATGTCAGTCGAGGAAGCGGGTACTTTGCGTTCAGACTAAGGTGTACCAGGAAATACACTTTTTATTAAAAGAAAATTTAATTTTTATAGCATGAATAAGATCTGCAGAAATCGTACATTTCAGCATTATCAGCATTCTGCACCTGCATTGTAAGGCAGGGACAGAGTCAGCGTAAATAATGACATACATGGCTAAAAACAAAATATGCATTACAGAACAATAATCGAAGAATTGCCAATTTAGAAGAAATATGCATACTTAAATGCTTAAAATTCGGTAACAATATTTCGACATCTGAGGCTCAGCGTTGCGGCGGGATGATTGATTCATGGAAACGCTGCTATACACATTCACATGACAGAACTTTGCCGAAAAGCGAATAGAAACACGATGAGGGAATTCATCATTCGGAAGATGTTGCTACCCTTCTGCGGGAAACTGCTATTAAAGTTGTTTATTTCTGGTCGTTTAAAGTGGAAGCGGGTATTTTAAGCTAAGGTATTATTTAAAAAAACTGAAAGTTAATGAAAAATGTGTCATCATCATCATCATCATCATCATCTTCCATCGCCGCTTCTCCTTTCGGGTCGCGGAGCGAACTCCGCCGTAGCCGGTCCCAAGCCCGGATGAGAAAGGAGGCGGGTTTAAGACCGTGGCAAGTTTCCGTAAAATTCAGCCACCTGCCTCTCATGATATTGACGCCATCAAAAATTATACCGGCTCGGTCGTCGCCCGGACTGTTGGGGGCCGCCCAGACTGTTGGGGGACCGAGGCAGACTGCGAAAAGTCGAAGACGAAGACCGTCGCAACGACGACGAACATACCAGTCAACAACGGAGTCGCTACCCGTTCTGAACGGATGAGGCAGACAGCGCGATGCCATTATAGCACGTCAGAAAAGGCTCCACGAGAACGACGCCACCAATGGGGAGCTTAAAGTCGGAAGTGAAAAACGTGTTTTGGAATAAAATTAATTATAAGCAATTCAAGATTTATCACTGACACAACTTTAAGTCAAACTGGTTGGGTGTTAAATTCCACATGAATTATTTGCTCTCAGTATTAGACAGCTTCATTAACCTACATCAGTTTAGCATTGTACGTGCTCTTCTTTGTACAGTAATCAGATATCCTACGGTTCAAAATATAGATGCAATATTTGGTTAAAGAATGTAAGCCAGATATATCTGTGAAACATGCTAGGATTTTGCGCGAATTCCGTAATTTTGTTGCAGATCTTTTGAGTTTTTTGGCTATGACGTATTTTCTAGACATGGAAACGTTGTTTTCGGTAAAAATGGAGCCTTCTGAAATCAATCAGCCAGGGGGCGTAGGTAACTGTTTTTTGAACTTGAAAAATCCGGCCAGCAGCGTGACGGCGGACAAAAAGACGTTATCGGCCTTGTGGCAGCTGTGTTCGAATGGCCCGCCCGATGTTGCCCCCGCCGCTCCGGAAATCCATCTAGAAAACGACGCCAATCGATTCCCATGTACGTATATCCCAGATTTAAGATTGTTTCCTCACCGACTGAGTCACCATGTTTTTCCTCCATTCTTTGTTAATCTTGCAATTTTGAACTAGTCGCATAAACTTCATTATAAGTGCCGATCGAAGCCGATTGTTTATGTCGTGGTTTCTACCATGAACATAACAACAGCTGAACGATTAGCAGAAAAACCTAAGCACTCGACATACAGTGAATCCGTTATGAATTGTTATGGTTATGGTGCAGCTGTTGTTTCAGTCCGTTTGTGAATGTCGGGCACCAAAAGCTGTAAAGGTTAATAAAAACTGTTCAAAGCAGAAGTTATTTGATCAGTATGACCAATTTCTGCAGTCAGTTTCGATGACCGCTAATCCTGTTGGATGGCAGGGGCAGTTGTTTCAGGCAATATCTCTAACAATCCCGGCAGACTCCTTCCATATATTTGCACCAGGTTAATCTTGGCCGTCCCCTGGGCCTTTTGCCGGTCATATTTGCAAGGAAAAGTTGCTTAGCCTTCCTTTCTGGAGGTATTCGCAGCACATGACCAAACCATCGCAGCTGTGACTTCTCATTCTGAACAGGCAAAGGCTGTACACCAAGGCTTTTCCGGATGTCAGTATT